CTGCCCGCCCGCCGGGCCGGACTTGTCTGGGGCGGGGTCGTGGGTCCGCCCGCGTCGCCCTGGCGCAGGCCCGGGCGCGGGGGGGACCCCGGAGCGGCGCGGAGCGTTCCCGTGGCCACCGCCGCGGCCGCCCGGCCGCCTCACCTTGCCGTCCCCCTGCCGCTGACACCGCTCCGGAAACACCAGTGTGGACTTCTGGCCGGTGCCCCGACTTTCCTTCCCCTCGGCCCGTCCCAGAGCGGGGGCGCCCGCCGTGCACGCCTCTGCCCGGCTGTTTCGGTCGCTCCCGGTCCTCGCGGACCCTGCAGCTCCCCGGCGCAACCCCCCCCTCCACCTTGGTGACCTGGTCGGTCCCAGTGACCTTGCAGTTTTTACTAGCCCCGACCTCATCTGTGACTTGGACCTTTTCCTGTCGTCCTTGGACCCGCAAACATTAATTTTGTAGTTTGCCCGTTGCTTCGAAAGGATCAGCCTTGTGCACGGTCCCGTCTTCGCTCCATCGATGTGGCGTGCAGCCTCCTTCGCTCCCGTGATTACGTGAAACCTTCGTGACCGTAGAGGAGCAAAAGTACCTATTATTTTGACGTTTTCTGCCCTTCCAAGATTAAATGTGTTCCCGGGGGGCTTGACGTGGCTTTCTTTTTCCACTTGCTAAGTTTTGCCTCTTGTTTTTGGGTAGCCTAGTGTGCAAACAAGATTTTGAGTTGCTGCTTTAAAATTCTGTTGGCACTAGTAGTGGAAAAGAATAACGTCCAGAGTTATCTTGCCGGCCCTTTGGTGTTTTTACGTGAAATACCTGGTGAGCCAGTTGTATGCAGGTTTTTGCAAGAGTTCACACGTAACGTATAAAGCCACTTGATCCGTCTCGCCAAGTCACGGTGTGTATTATACAAGCAAAATGCACCATTTTTAGACAAGAAAGGCATGCTTTTATTTACGTGACTTGTTTGTAGCCATAAAGTGGTCCATTAGCTCTGACTGCAAATGATCACTTTTCATAAATAGTTAATATTTCTAAAATTGAAACTTAGTATCCAAGTGTTGGGAGGTACTCAGGTTGATAAGTGCCCAGTATGTGTAGACAAGGTCTTTGGGATACAGTTTAGTAACATTTTCACATAGTTCTTCCCTGCAACATGTAAGGCTTTGGGAAGCAGAAAGTAAGGGTAATATTTTTTGGAAGCCGTGCCTGATAGAGAATGTCACAGATAAAGGCTCTGCTTTTAAAGAGATAGAAATCTTTGCTGTTTACCCCACGAAGTCTGAAATTTCTTTTACCTCTTTGCACAGTTATTGAGCACCTACTACATCATGACTGCGGGGCATTTGGGGGAATATAAAGATGAGGATGATAACAGTTTCTGCCTTCACAGAAGATACGCCCAAATGCCTCATTTGCCTTTTAACAGATAGTTAATCTACGTGCAGAATTCAAATTCAAAGTGGGCAGGGCTCACAACTCGTTTGGCAAGGTGGGGTTAGGGAGGTTAGTTGTAGAGCTGCTGGCTTCTGAAATCTTTGTTTGGAGGATGACTGTGACCCCTGCAAAGGTAATCCAAGCAGAGAGAAGGGACAGCGCAGACTTCATACATTTGGGGAGAGGCATGTAATTATGTTGGGATGGAACATAAAGTATTTGTACCAGTAACAAGGGCGATAAAGCTAGAAGTAAAAATTGGGCCGGTTTATTATTGCTTTTAAAGCTAGACTGATGACCTTGGTGGTGGGGGTTTTACAGATGATTTTTGAGTTGGCCACGTAACGATTAAAAGCTTTGTTTTCAGAGGATCAATCTGGCAGCAGTGTGTCGCGTGAGCTGAAGTAGAGAACCTGGGGGTAGAGAGACCTCGATTGCTGTGGCCGTAGTAGGTAGTGAGGGTCTGAGCTGTGGCCGGTGAGAACAGGACTGCAAAGGAAGGCAGTAGATGAGACAGAATTGCTGATGAGAGAGAAAATCAAGAAAGTAAAAATAACTACGATTGGGATCCAGGTTGGTTGGGAGAAGAGTGGTTCGGTTTTGAGCAACCTCCGTGGAAGCTTTGTCTGCAGCACGTGAGTGTCACTTTGCAGCAGGAGTTGTCATTTGGGGATTAGTAATCCTTGGTGAAATTAAAGTAATCTGCTGGCCCGGAAAATTTCCGTATGCACCTGTTTGTCATTTTAGAGGTGTCTGTGGACCACCTGAAGCTCATCCATGGAACCCAAGGGCCAGTGGGTGGGCCTGGCAGCTGCTTTCAGAATTACGGGGGGCCTTTAGAACAATAGAAGCTTCAGATTCTTGCACTTACTGATGAGAACCCCTACTGTAGAGACATACTGTATATACACCGAGAGGCAGCATCTCCTTCGACTTGTGTTATGGTTTACAGTGAATTTTGACTCACTGATTTGCTATTATATTACAGAACAAACTAGCCCACGCGGTTAAAAGATTTGCCCTGAGTATTTCAATTAGCAGGTGGGTAAAGTGGACTCAGGAGTTGATTGACAGTGATGGTTTCTTTCTTGGGTGAAGATGTATGCAGCTCATTGACCATCAGTGAGGCCTAGGTGATCCTTGGGAGGTTCCTCCAGTTCTTAACATTTTATGACTTTGGGGTCTTAGGTGTTCACAGGACTATCTGTACCCTTGTTTTCCGTGTGTAGGAGAGATGGTGAGGCCGAGGAATGAACTGGGCATATGGAGAGTGATATCAGACCAGTCGTTTACTTATTTCCTTTGGATGGGCTGGGGGGGGGGGAAGTAAAGTAAGTGAAATAAGAAACTGTAAGAACGTTTATCTTCTCTATTCAGGTATGCCCTACTTGAGAGTACCCCTCTCCTCCATTCAAGAAGCTTTTATCAAGTAAAAATTGACACTAGAAAGAAAATGAAATGCTGGAACCTAGTCAGTGAATTTTTTTCATTGGGTTAAGTAGCTAACTCTCCCTAGTATGTTTAACGCATAATTTGATTAGTAAATAGTTGACTTTTCTGCACCTATTGGACTATCTTCCTGTAGGGAACCAGAGAAAGTTATTAGTATCTTTTATAGCTCTAGAAACTTTGATTCCATAATTATTAGAACCACTGGGGTCTTTTTTACTCTTTCTGTAAAAGTATGTAATTGTAACAAGCAGCGGAAAAACCAATAAATTGGCCCTTTTAGTGGTATATATATCGAAGTAACTAGTTACTGTTACTTAATGGAGGAAAAGTGTCTAACAGAAGTACCCACATAGGTGATTTTCTACTCTGCGGTCGTTAAGAGGAGTATCATAGCATAACGTTTTTCATAATGGCTCTATATTATCATTTGATTCTCATGACAGCTGTAGGTGTGTCAGGAGATAATCATTGCTTTCTAGATGAAGACACCGAGGCTCAAAGAAGTTCAAACAAAGTTAAATTTCCAAGATGTATGGCTAGTCAGTGGCTAAAACAGAACTAGAGCCAAAGCCCATACTTTTGTTCCTGGGTCAGTTTTCTTCCCCCACTGACTCAGTGGGAAGGTGCCCGAAGGCGGCATGTGGAGACACTGAATTTACCTGTTTGGAACCTGTGTCACACTGTTGTGCTGTGTCCATCTGAACTTGACTGTTTCCTCCTTTGTGTTCACATGGAAACCTCACTGCAGTGGCGTTTGGTATGTAACTTTGAAATTTATAAGTATTTATAAATTTTTATCCCTTTGTCAAGGAAAAAGTAAAAGTTGATTTCTCGTCTGAAACAGTGCCTTGGCGAAATGTAGGCATTAGTTAGTTGCCTTTTGAAAACTTTTGGGTTTTAACTCAGGTGCTTTTACAGATGAAGTTCTTTTATAAAAGCCTAGTCTATGAAAATTTGTGTTTTTGGAGCAAATAAGTCAGCATCTGATTTCTAAAAGTATATATCATGATATTTCATGATTTTTACCATTACATAAAAAGCTGCTTTATCATTTAAAAAAATGCTTTATCATATATATAATAAATATATACCTACAGTAATACCTTAGTTTGCAAGCATAATTTGTTCCGGAAACAGACTACTTGTATTGCAAGACATCGGTCGTTTACCAAGTTAAAATGTATTAGAAATGTTTTCTCGTCTTGTGGAACAGTCGCAAACCAAGTTACTCGCAATTCAAGGTTTTACTGTATTTAAAAGCTCTTAGTGTACACTTCATATTCATATGTTTAAACAACTTTTGGGGGAATGAAGGAGGTAAAAACCATGTCAGATCACTCCTAATTTCTAAGGAGACCAGGATTTGTCTCAGCATTCCTTAATCCTGTTCCTTGTCACAGCAGTTGCTGGGGTACCTCCTACACGCCAGATGTTGTGCGCCCTGGTGCTGGGGTCCAGTGCTGGGAAGACCTGGAAAGCCTGTCCTCCTGGGACTTGGAGTCAGTAGAGTCACTAACAGGACGGGCGTAGACCTTAGCTTCTGGGCTTGTGTGAAGATTTGGAATTGTAATTACAGGCACGCCTCGGAGATATTGTGGGTTTGGCTTCACACCACCACAGTAAAGCGAGAATCGCAATAAAGCAAGCTGTAGTCTTTTTGCTGGTGGAGGGTCTTGTCTTCAGTTTGTAAGAAATGCGACATCTGTGAAGCTCAGAAAAGCGAAGCCCAATAAAACAAGGTCTGCCTGTAATTATATCCCTCCTTTGTCTGGGTTTTGAACAAATTATGCAAAAATGCAAGGAACCAGGTGAGCATTTTTGGTTACTTATTGCTGTGTAACAAACAACCCTAAAACGAAGTGACTTAAGATTCTCTCTTTTTGGCTCACAGTTTTGCTATCCTAGGCTGGGCCCATTGGAGCAGCTCTGTTGCTGGGCACTCTAATGGCTGTATTCAACTGGCCGTTCAGCTGGGTGCTGGTCTCTCTTTCTCTCCTACTGGGCCACTGGCTCCCTGGGTGTCCTTGCCAGGATTGCTGGCCTTACGTGGTGGCCTAGGGCTCACAAGAGCGCAAAAGCAGAAGCAGCCAGGCTCCTTAAGGCATAGGCTTGGAAGGAGCATAGCATTTCTGCCACGGTCTGTTAGTTAGAGCAGCTCCCAGGTCCAGCCCAGGCTCCACGGGAAAGGGGCGAGGCACGTGTGGGACTCCCAGGATTACACCAGACCCTAAGTAGTCCGCCCAGGCGGGGCTTCTGGAAAGCTTTTGGAAGCTGAGACTTTTGGTGCTTAGAGTCTGGGCCCTGCTAGCTGGGTTTTTCTCACTTTATCTTCATCACTTGTTTTTATCTCACTATCACTCTATTGTTGTCTCAGTTTTTGGGGTGTGTGTGTGTGTGTGTGTTTGTTTGTGTTTGTTCAGGTTATCTGCCGATGGTGTTATGGTGAACTGGAATGAAGTAAAGGAGCGTTTTGTTGCTATTACATTTTAGCTTCTGCGTGGAATAGTGAATCAGTATATGTCATTTAAAGAATTTAGGTGTAGCTTTGAAGCACTTTGGAAGCATTTCACATATACTCAAAAAATGGGCCCCTGCATCCCAGTAGGAATCTGTGAATTTCTGAAAATAGAACCTTGGCTGTGGGGAGGAGACCTTTGGTGATTGAATGCACTGAGAACATGATTTACATAAATAAGAAG